TAAGAAACAGAGGCTGAGAGAGAGCACGTGTTGTGTGTGCGTGTGTGTGTGTGTGTGTGTGTGTGTATGCACACATTCCAAGAAATAGAGGCAGAGACAATAATGAGACCTTCAAATAACAGTTTTAGGCAAAACTATTGAAAACTTTTATGATTTTCCTAGGAAAGGAATGAATTTCTATGTGTATTGAACAAGCACACAGAAATCACCACCCAAAGCACAATTTTAATATATGCAAGATAATAAGCAATAGGAAATAAATTATAAAAATGAGAAGTAAAACAGCTTTCACATTTCTCCAGGAAAATAATTTTGTTTATTGCTAGAATTGACTCTGACGCCTTATCAAATCAATCAAAAGTGTTAGAGGAAACTGTTTGAAAATTGATGGGGGCGGGAGGAGAACACTAATGCAAACTATATGATACAATTTTTGGGGAATTTAAGACGAAAATTTCAGGCCAGAAGGTCAGGCATTGTAGATTAAATAGCGAAACTTACTTTCTTCCCTGGGTGCGGGGTGGGGTGAAGAGCTCCCGGTTTATGCCATGTTCTAGCAAGAATCTCCTGGGTTTATGATCACAGCCTTCAGCATGAAGCAGAAATGAGGTGACCCATTCCTGTACCCCCTACTGTATCTTTGGCAGTATGATGGGTGGTTAACAATTTATTTTGAATGCCTTAATGAATTGATGAATGAATAGTGTTTGCATTCCATAAAGATCGGAAGTGTCCCTGGAGAACTCCAGCACACTCTGCTGTAGATCAATGCTTATGACTCCTGTCCCTATGTGATTCCTTCACAAGCCCGCTTCATTTAAAGTTGGTTCTCCCATCTGAGCATATCCATGGCTGTTACTCTTATCACATCTCAGCTACTGGTCCACTCACACCTCCAAACATTATAGCATATGTTCATCTACAGTTTATTGGAGAGAATATTTAAATTGAACAATAAGACAACTATGCATTAGACTGGCTTTTCTTGGACTTAACTGTATATATGGTAAATCACTGAGGCACTTTGCCTCTTCCAAGGTTCTTCACCTGTGAAGTTCTGAGGATGCTTCTAGTTTGTAAGTTTTATAATTTAGAGTTATAGAACCTATATATAATCCCTATGGAAATTAAAGCTCATCTAATTAAATAGGTAGTCCTTTCTCCTGAAAATGTATTGAAACAGTGGCTCCAATGAATAAAGATACAAAAATGGCCAATCAAAGAATCTGTTTCAGTTGGAAACTAGGTATTTCTTGTATAATTTATGTGGCTTTTACAAGCTTTGAAAACCTGGAGAGACATGTAGAGGATTAGTAAAGAGGTAGTATTATGATGAAATAGGTTGGGTGTAACAAAAACTTAATTTTTAATTCCAGCACTGTGAATCTCCCTTTACTTGGATGACATCTAGGAGATACTCAGTCTCAGTTCCATAGCTTTGATTATCCATATCTGATAATCAAAGAAAAATTTGCAGGATTATTGGGGAATATTAAAAAGACAATTTGCAAATTTAATAGTACTGATACATGGTCTACATATGTATTTGTTAAGTGTTTGCTGATTCTGTAATAATTTTTATTTCCTTAGTTTAAGAGCACTGAGATTTGGAGTAGTTAGGGGTAAAATGTTACAAATGACTTGTGAAAGAGTTTTAAAACATATTTAAACCAGTTTTGGAAATAATATGGTTTACTACCAGCAGGCCACATCAACATTAGCATCCTGGCTTAACTTATTTTTCTTTACGGGCCAAAGAATTCCAGGTGCTATTCGAAAGAAATACATTGCGATTTCTTAAAAACATTCATGGATATTTTTGAAGGAAACTGTAAAAATTAATTTTAAACCTTTTAATGGCAATAACAAAAATCTCTATGTATCTACATGGGTATAAAACCTGCTTTTCAGATGTTTTTTTCTGGATTCATTTCTATGCTATTTTTAATTTTAACATCTGAGAAGCTTTAGATTAGATTCTATTCTATCATTACCCAGTAACAGGGTAAATAAGAATTTTGCATAATTGCTTTTGCCTCTTTCTTATTTTTAAAGGGAAAAATACCAATCACTGCAAATTTAAAAAGTATAAGAAAGTGTCAAGAAACACATGCATATACATAACAAGTCCCAGTTCCTCTTTTGTCCCTTATCCCTTTCCTTCCTCCCCTTCCCTCCATCTTGTTTCCATTCCTTGACAAGGAATATAAATGCACCAAAACAAACAAACACATACACACAAAACAAAGGAAGGGCATCAAGGAATGATTGGAAGGGGGAGGGAGGGAAGAGAACAGAACAGGATGAAAAAGGCATTAAGATGTGTTATATACATGCACCAACTTCCCCAAAGGAATGTAAACATTATGTAGTACATATGTATATTAATAGACTACAATAAAAAATTATAAAATTATAAAAAAGAAACATACAAATAAAATAACATTATTGTCATTGAGAATAATGCTATAGCATTCTAACATTTGAGTAACATGTATTTAAAATTGTTATAAGAAGGGAACATTACTTGTAATTTGTTTTCCTTTGTATTAGGCTTTCTTTGATACTCTTGGCCTAAAACTACAAAGTATAAAAATGTGTAATTTATGTAGAGAGAATAATATTCCCTAAGAAGTACAATAATTAAAAAATAATTATTTATCATGCAAATAAATTCAGGTTCAGAAACAATGAAATTAGTCTAAAAGAGGAAAAAAGGTACAAAATTCCTACATTTTATATGATGGGATTTCAACTTGGGAATCAGAGACTGAATAGTGCTTTCTGTACCCAGAACTAAACTTATCAGAGAACTAAAACCTAAATACATGGAAAATTCTGCAATATCAAGGAAATGGACTAAAATGTGAAAGGGTTTTCTCATTTTTGATGGCCAAATTCCAGCCTGTAAGCAGTGCATTAGACGCTAATGACATACGATTTCTCACTGACAGATTTAACAGCATCAATAAGGCCTCTCTGTCCATTGCTGCAAATTGATCCTACATGACACTGACAAGGGCAGCCTGCACTTAATGACCTCCATCGCTGAAGGATGGCAGTGAAAAATGATTGGAAGTACGAATAAATCTTGGAAAGTTTCCCTGAAACAGGTGTGCTAGAAGTGATTCGTTTGAGGGATCACAAACATAAACCCAATTTCTTAGCATTCTCCATTGTCATCCGGCTCATATGTGGGCCTCAGTCCTTATAACTTGCATTAAGTTTTGCTTTATTTCAAAAAATGACATCAAGATGATTTTGTTCTTACTACGGAAATACAATTCCATCAATTCTTTCTAATTCTAGAGGTTCTCTCTAAAAAACTCATGATTTTCCACTCTGTATGTAAATATCTAATCCATTTGTCATTTGCCCCAAACAATTCTTTATAAACTATAACACGTGTCCACACTATTTTTCTCTTTCCCCTTGATTAGAATAAGAAATTCAGTATGACAATTGATTATTTTCTCTTTCTTAATAATCAGCCACAAATAAAGCATGTTTACCTTCAGTAAAGATGTCAGATGCATAAAATGAATGAAAAAATGATCCATAAGTATGAAACACACTTTCTTTCAATCCTATTCAGCAAAGATAGCAAGAGTTTGGCAGATGGTTGTGTTTTCAGTTCTTTCCCAAATACACTTATTTCTTGATCTGCTTTCATCTTCAATTATTTCAATACAAATTTATAAAAGAAACGTTCTCTTTCCCAGTATACTATATTTGGAAGCTTAATTCTCATCCAAGTTGATGGTGAAAAACACAGGGAGTTGATAAGCAGCATAGCAATGAATATAATAATTACTTACAGTGGCATAGCATCCGTTTACTTCCCAAGTAACTTCAAATAGGAGTCTTTTTTTACTCTCGGCTAATTACCCCATGAGGATAATCTTAGTCTATGGGTGAGAAAACTGAGTTTGGAAAGGGCAAATAACTTCCCAATACAACTGAGCTAGTGATTGATAGAGCTTGCACTCAATTCCCTGCATTCTGGCTTCCCCATGTTCCAAAATTGTGAGATGTAAATACAAAAGTGGGATCTAAACTGTAATTCATATATAGGGCAGCAATATAGGCAATAGCAATAGAAGACAAGATCTATTAGCAGTACCCTGGTTTTTGTGACTAGATAAATGAGTAAAAAATAATCATGCCTCTATTTTTTTAATTTCAAATTTTAGGGGCTTACATGTGAATGAAAATCATTTTATCGTATCACTAATTGTCTGAAAAACACAGAAGAAGTGCCTATAATTGCAGCATTTTCTTCCTTTATCATTTGTGGCTTTTTAATGTGTTTTACTTTTCTACTTTTACCATCACAGAAGATTTTACAAACTATATTTGGAATTCCAAACGACTTCTGGTAACCAGAAAAAGTCGTCTACTTTTCCAAGCTTCTAATTAATCTTCATCTTAAGAAAATAACATTCTCAAATAAGAAACTAACCTCCCCAAATTTGGAATACATGACTGGGGATTTAACTCAGTGGTGCCGCTGCCTGCCTCGCAAGCACAAGGTCCTGAGTTTGATCCCCAGTACTAAAAAAAAAAAAAATTGGAACACATATATCTAGAGGAAGATTTAGAAGACTATTGTGGGAAGTCACCTACATGTAGAGTTGAAATTTGAAATCTTAAGTCTGAAAACTTTAACAAATTGGAAATTTTTGCTCATGGTAATTAAAAGCAAATTAATATAAAATGGTGAATTTGAAACTAAATTTTTCATTTCTTAAATATATTTTCAAAATTAAGTTTCAAAAAATTGTTATACATAAAGGCTAGGGATGTAGCTCAGTGGTACAGTACTTACTTAGCATAGGTGAGGCCTGGGGTTTGATCTTCAGCAACAAAAAAAATTTGATGTAAATATACAACAAAGAAAAAAATGCAATTATTTGTTGCATAAGGGCAATCATCACATTGAGGAGCCCCAAACTGACCACATTTTACTTTATATAGAATAAAAGTCCAGTAATTCCTATTTATAAAAGAATTAGAAAAGCCAATAACTGTTTCTTATCTCTAACTGAAGCATCAAGTGATAGCTGTTTACCATATATATTGAAGAAATTATCCTTTTCTGTTAAGAAAATAGTCTGCATCTTTTGATACTCTTGAGCTAAATGTAGATTTTCTTCCAGTGAGTTGTCTTGTAATTCCCAGAGAATAAATGTATATATATAGAAACATTTATATTTGCTTGATTTTTTCATATATTATCTGAAAGTATTCCAATATATAATGTAAAAAAAAAAAAACAGCCAGAAAACATTTCCTCAAACACCAGTACCATCCTTGGATTTAATAATTTCTTTCTTGATGCAGTTTTCTTTTTGTTTTACATTGACGCATGCGATTTATAAGCTTTTCTGCCTTTTGCTACAGGTCTTTCCACTTCCTTTCCCCACATCTCCTTAGGTCATGTCTTCAAAGGATCCAGTCCTGGGGGCCTCCAAACAGCTCGCCAGTGGTCCTTTATCGGGGGTTTCCCATACTCTTTTCCTTTCTTCCACCCGCTGTGTTCAAACAGGTGGCAGGCACTTTGGTGCTTAGAATTTGCTCCCTAAGAGGTTCAAAGTGTTGGGATTCACGGAACACACTCCAAGGAGGAGGAAGGAATGGAAGACTGAATAGAGAATTTAACATTTAGAAACGCCCAAATTCATTATTTGGCATTCATATATTTTTGCTATATTAAAGCTCAAATCTCCTTCTATGAGCAGCTGAGAACTTCGTAACAAACTCCTCTGTGACTAAAATTTGCATCAAATCTAATACAAACCCTATAGAAAATGACTGCATCCTTACCCATGGGCATACTGGGGGCTACTTGTCATTTTAAGTTAGGTACCTAAATTCAGTTTAATGATTCCTTCTACATTTTTTTTACACAGAAAACTTTCTATGGCAGCTTCAATGCTATGGAATTTATCGATAGCCTTAAATATTTTCAAACCTGTTAATCTTGCTGATTTGTCTTTAATTTGAAACACGTTAATTCTCAATAGAAGATTCCCACATCCCTCTTAGGGGAAAACATTTTATGCTTAAAAAGAAAAACTTTTATTCATTACAATGTTATTTATAGTCATAAAAAAAGTTTCTTAAAATCCATAAATACTGATTAATCATAGTGATGAATTATGATTAAATTGCTAGATGCAAAATAACCATTATGAAGCAATTAAAAATGTTTGTGAAAGCTGTCATCACAATAAAACTTTAGTGTATTGTCTAAAAATACATATGTTATGGGAAGGTGCATAAAGATAATGTAATTCAGCAGAAAATTGTCTGTACAAATATTTCTGTATTTATACACTTGAAGATTCATTTAGATCAGCAAACATATTTCTCATAAAAACCTGTATCCGTATTGATCCTTAATGATTAATACTGTGTCACAGATGTTCTTCAAAAAGCTAAAATAATGAACTGAAAGGCATTTTATATCCCATTGTCCTAATTCTGCCACAATAATTTAAAACTCTAGAAACTTATATCAAGTAAACTTGCCAAAAATCACATAAAATTATCTTTTTTTTTTTTTGGTACTGGGAATTGAACTCAGGCCCTTACACTTGCCAGGTAGGCACAGTGTCACTGAGCTATATCCGCAGCCCCTAAAACTATCTTTTATTAGGAAGACAAAGTTCTATGAATATTTTCCTTTAGTGGAATTACCTTTTTAAAGATGACTGTTATAGCTTTTGGTACCTTAACACTAATAGTAAAATCCAGTTCTCAAGTAACTGATTGGAAACATGGATAAATGTTCTACTGGACCCAGGAGTAGGAACTACGTTGACTTTTTTGTTAGTTTGTTTGATTTAACATAAGCACAAGATATATCCTGTTTTTCAGTTACATTTCTTTCAAGTCCTAAATGGCTACTACAAATATTTAATTTGAGAAGAGTGCTACAAAAGTTGTGAGATTTTCATTAAATCTATTTAATGGAACATAACGGGGAAATATTTAATTTATGCTTTATTCACTGTGCAATGTACAGTTCTATTTCCAAATACATACATTTTAAAATTTCTGGATGATACTAATTCTTACCACTTTATATGCTCTATTTGGAGTAGATATCAAGAAATTGAGTTATGTAATTATGCCAATGAATCTTTAGAACATTTTCACATCAGTCATAATATTTTATGATTCCCTAGTAATGAATGTATAGAAGATCTATCAATGCACTACCTACTCCTGAAAGTCAGTGACCTTCAGATATGCAATGAAGTTTAAGTTTTTAAAATTTTAAATAATAGTATTCTGTTGACACTGAAAGTGATTTTTACATTTTACCGTGGTTCCACCTCACAACACTGACTCATTTAATTTTAACCAATAGTATAATAATATGCAAATTAAACAAAGGGAGAATGATAATTATTGGTGGAAATATATCTAGAGGAAATAATACGACCACTATTGAAAGTTAAACAGCTCATAAAAGAAGGGTATTTAACATGGGCACAAAAGTGAAAGTTAGGAGTGTAACTTAGGGGTAATAATAAACTAGTAAGACAAGATGATTTCAAGCTTTTCAATTTAAATCTTGTTGAATCTTAGTAAAAATTTTCAAGTTAAAGCCTTACCCAAATGTGAACTTGAAAAATGTGCTTTTTGATCTAAATATATTAATGAAGAAATTGATTGCAATTGCTGTAGGTTAAAATATTTACATCCTGAGTTGACTTACAATATTATTGTATTCATTCTTTATTTCAGTCATTTGTTCATTAAATTGTTAAACATTTTTAGTAAGAATCTTCTATAAAACTGACATTTAATGGTATGTCTGAGTCTGTTGCCTTGTGGGGAATATTTTTAGTAAAAACACAAAAATTCATTATTTAGAATGTAGAGTCTGACATCTTTTGTACTTCTGTTTTCCAAGTTTATTAAATTTATTCAAAATTTCTAAAGTATATAGAACTTTCCTAAAGCTAGGTTTATTGCTATTTATTCAATTCTCATTATTAATCATGATTGAAATGATTAACATTGGGAACACATCTTTGTAAAGAGAAGAGACATGATGAATGTATGCTAATAGTTTACCATTTAGAATTTAGTAAGGAAAATGTTTCAGAAGGTTATGTTTGTTTTCTTTTATCACAATTGTCAATTCTTGAGGTTTAGTAGATATGACAGCTTATTCTCCCAATATTTTACTAGAAGCTGAAAATGATGTTTATAAGAGGTGGAACAAAAGCTAATTTGTAAATTTCCATGAGGGCCAAGACCATCCCTAGGATATGCTGAACAGAACAGAGATGGTGTAAGTAGGTGCACAGGTTTTTAGCAAAAGAATGAATTAATGGATTCACATATTATTAGTTAGGAAACAGATTTTGCCTGTTAGAACATACGTTTAATTTGCCAACATCTAGTTAAGGACATCATTTATACTATTTGATACTGTATTACTTGAGAAGTGAAAATCTTAAGTATGTATAGAGAATTCACATCACAAGATTATGCAAAAAATTATTCTAAGGCTATATTACATTACCCAGGCTTAGCAAGGGTTCTTTATCTTCAGTAAACCATGGATTTTCACAAGGTATGTGAACCATTTGAAGTTATGCATAGAATTTTGGGGATTAGCTACTCAACCTGTGATGCCAAAACTGTTGAGGAGGCACTGTTAAAGTTAGCTTCCTTTTTTCTCAGTAAAAATGCTGAAAAAAAAAAAAAAAAAGAAGACAGATTGAGACTGTAAGATCTGTAAGATATACAAATGGTAGTTCTCTACTATCTTTTTTCTCTTGAACTTTCTTATTCTTTAAGCTGTAGATTCCACTTTTAACCTCTCCTGCATTTTCTCCAGTTTTAGATTATTTTTCTCACTATTCAGCGCCCCCCACACACACACTGGGTAAGTGGAGAATAGAGAATTCCAATCAGAGAACTAAGTTCTTTTCAAACAAAAACATAAAGCATATTTTATATTTTATCTTGTGATATATAGCCAGGAACTTACAAATAAGGCTGAACTTGAATGTTAACTCATGAATTCCACCCATAATAGATAAGCATCTGAGACTGACAGTCACCTTAACAAGAAAGAACACTAAATCCTTATCCTAATGGAAGTATGATATAAAAAGATAATAAGAAAGTAATAATAAGAATTCAAAAAAGAGTAGCAGCTGACATTACGGATTGCTTACCATAACCAGAAATCATAAAGGCAGTATTTATTGAATTTATCCTCATAGCAATTTTCTGACATATTACGTTACTATCCTCATTTTATAGACCAGGAAGGCAAGATAACGAGTAAGTCAGATGAAGCAAACTGTATTTTTCTAAAATGGTCACAAAAATATTTTCAGTCCCACATATTTTTCCAAAACCTCGTCAACTCCCTATCAAAAGATGGGGTCTGTTTCTCCATCCCTGAAACTGTGGTACACTTGTGGCTTCCCTAGCTGTATATGGTCGAAGCAATGCTGTGACTTAGCAGAGCTGTTGAAAACACACAGTTCTGCCAGGCCCCCTTTTTGGGGACATTCACCCTTGGAACCAGGCACCATATTGTAAAGAATCTAGGCCAAATGAAGAGGCCAAAGGTAGGTCATCCAGTAAATAGCCCTACTCCAGCACAGGTCTCAGGCAACAGCCCAACTGGGGGTGAAGGAATTATGAGAAGAGAAATCCAGACCCTAGTCTCCAGGTTGTCCATCTGATGACCCAGAAAATGTGACATAGAGATAATCCCTCCCTACTGTGTCATGTCAAATTTCTGACACTTAGTATCACGAGTATCACAGATAGCTATTCTATGCAATGAAATTTTGATAAATTCACCCTAACAACTGAAACACAGGCATCATGTGCAAGTTGTACAGCTACTAAGTGGAAGAGTGGGATTTTGTATTCAAGGAAGAATAGCACCATATCCCACACTACTAACTATACGATACATTCCCTTATAAACATAGCCAGCATTCTTAACACTATGCATTGCTATGCTCATAGAAACCTAAAGACACCAATTAAATCACATAACTAAATCTCTTATTCTGAGACCATTTCCAGCAATAAACTGTCTTATTTTAATCTTGCTAACACCTGACTTGTTGACATAGAAAAATGAGCTGCTAAGAGAGATTAGAACTTGGACCCTTG